CTATCGGTTCGCTGAGACCAATGGTCGGCGGCGGCGGCGATGGACTGGGCGGCCGTATTAACCGACGTGTGGGTGACTTATCGCTGGCCCCGTGTTTGTCCTTTTGGTGTCGGTTTAGCTCAGCTTTACTAATGATATGGATTGGAGAACACCGGCGATGCTGACCAGCGCTTCGGGCCATACATTGACTTACAGTGAAATACGATTCAAATGTGACGAATGCTCGCAAACCTACGGCACTGACCGTCAGCTCAAACGGCACCAAATGTGCCGACACGGCGTACGTCAATCCAATTCTCGCGATCGGGAGCCACGCGATCGCCAGTACGACAAAGGGTCACATTTGGCGGCACACATACGGGACAAACTCGGCTACCGGTGCCCATACGACCGCTGCGCGCGACGGTTTGAATCCTATGGTCTTCTGCAGGGGCACCGACTCAGAGCCCACTGTCCCTACCGATGCGATTACGAGCCCTGCGACCGGCGGTACTCTACTAACGATGCGCTACGCGGGCACCAGCAGTCGTGTTGTTATCGGTTGGACGCTCGGCGCACACTCTCCACGTCGTCGTCGCACAGGTATGTCATTGGGATATAATGGGCGCACAAATCAATGATTGTGTGATTGTTTGCAGTAATAGATCCACCGAAAAGACCTATCGGTGCGATGTTTGCCCGCAAAGGTTTAGCAAACGGGCTCTACTCGACGCCCATATCTGTTGGCCTCAGAAGCGCCGGTCCGGACACTCCGTAACGCCCGACGGGCGCCGCTTTGAGGACAGGGAGAGTGAGAGGGCCCGCAACCGATCAGTCAGTACCACAACCGACGCCGGAGACCAGACACCGACTAACGTATCGCACAAATTGGTTGACCCGTCCGTAGCGCTCAATACGGCCCACAATAATAGCCAAACGTCGGACTCGATTGAGTTGAACAACAAGTATGTGAAACACACATCCGATGCCAAACCGCGGACATCGAGTGATCGTTCGCGCCGTCGGTGTTGTGTAAACTGTGGCACAACTGACGCACAGATGTGTCGTACGAATGATGTGGAGGAATATGTCTGTAAGAGCTGTGATCTCAATAATAGGTCGCATAATAAGTCACAAAAAGTAAGCATTAAATCAATTAATTATTTTATTAATCATTTTATTTTCGTAATTAAAAAGTTATTAATTTCTATAAATTTATATTTATTTAATGGAAAAGACATTCAAATGCAATGAAGAAGATTGTGGTAAAAAATATAAAACAAAAACGGATCTAATTTTGCACAAACGTACTCATCGTTTCGGGAGAAAAACCAGTTGTTTGTAATTTCAATGATTGTAATAAAAGTTATTCAAATAATTCAACACATAATTAGATCGGAAACATGTTTTGATACAATTGTTAAAATCATTGTAAATACAATTTATTACAAACCAATGTTTAGTTTCATTCAATTTTAACGCAAGATGTTTAAACATTATAAATTCTTATAATCATAAATAATAATTGTTAATTAAATATTGTAAACATTTGAAACATACACACAATATTATTTTATAGTTTATTACATTACTTATAAAGTATAAAAATTTAATACAAAATTTAATTTCATTAAAAAGTTTGCCAAAAAAATTATTAAAACCATACTTATTTATAACCACATTTACATTGACTAAAAATAATTTATTAAATCAATTCATACAATACGTACACATTATTTATGGCGCGAATAAAACCCAAAATATCGATATTCCAAACGATACTAAATTTGAGAACTTTCTAGAATTCTGGGACTATTTCCAGGATTTTATAGGTTTGGCTGCACTAAAGCCAATGAACCTGAGCTCATCAGTCATAACAATTACTGCATCAAAAACCGCATAACAGTTATGCCTAATAACACTACTACGTTCGTTAAGCGCATGAATACACGTAATCATTGCCTATAATGTATTCATGTGTTGTGTCCGAGCGATGCAGTCGTGTCTCCAAAAGCTATACTTTTTTATATTTTAGACGCTTTTTAATTGACTTTAATTATTACAAAAAAACTTTTAGCTTTTAAATAATTTGTGTTGTAGTCAATAGACTGACCAATCGGTGCCCAAAGCGATGGCAACATTATGTTCATTTAAATGCGATTATAAGGATTGTTGCGGAATGTTTGCCACCGAAGAGATAATGAAGAAGCATAAGAAGGCTGTTCATCAAATGCCCGATCAGTTGTCGTTGACTCAAGAACTGCCCGCTGTTTCCATTGATAACACTGTGAGTAAAGTATTGTCCAACGCTTCCAGTGATCGTACAATAGCTGAAGCGATTCCAAATCTTAACCTTATTGTCAACGCATCCAATGGGTACTCGTTTTGGTCGTGTTTATTAAAAACTAATCAATTTTAATACAAAACAGTGGTGTAAGCGCTGATGAGGACAATAGTAGCCGATTATGGGATACACTGGTAAGAGTGGTCAGTCAGCCGCCAGCGATTACCGTAACCCTCACCGACTCAGACATGAGTGATGTTATTCCCGATACGATTCCAGCGCTCGACACCAGCGCCACGTCAGCCGGCGATAAGTCACCGACCGGTCCATTAGTGCCGCCGCCGTTACCGCCGCCCAGTTTTATGACTGCACCACTTGTGTCGCCCTTTTCAGTGCTCTCTGATATGTCTTCAATATCATCGACAGACACTCATCAGAGGTATCGTATGTTTGTTCAACAAAAATTGCATTTTTAATCTCTCTCTCTCTCTCTCTCTCTCTCTCTCTCTCTCTCTCTCTCTCTCTCTC